CATGCTCTTTGGCAGTAGAGAAGCAGCCGTCCAGCTTCAGCATGTCAATCTTCCACTCAGCAAAGGTTTCAGCATCCAGCTCCACTTTGTCCAGAGTGGTACCAGGGTAACCCATGCAGGTCATTTTGCCCAAGTCCTCATAGATGCCTAGCTTCAGACCCAGGGAATGGGCCTGCGGGGTTCAAGAGACAATGGTAGATCAAGTGAGACCCTCTTCATAGTCATATCTTGACAGAGACCATTAAAACCTTCAACAGCCCCTCAGATACCAACATGGCTCCTGATCTCGGTTATCTGCACTGTCTTCGATAGTAACAGGAGCCTTGGACATCGGCACAGATCCTGGCTGCAGTAGGGCCACAGACCTAGACATAGCCTTCATGCAGCTTTGGCCTGGGCATCATCATGGCATTGAGATGATGGTGTACCAGAAACCAGAGGCCTTGAGCCAGACCAGTGATTCGCTGCGATGAACATTTGCTGGTGAAGCTTATAGACAAAAGGACATACTATATGACACACCCAGGCCCCCAGTGCCACCAGGACGGATGAAGATGTGTTGGAGAGGCAGGAAAGGAGAAGCAAAGAGGTTTTTGGTGGTGTTGGCTTCTGTTTTGTTTTCCTTGGTTTGTTTTCTTGTTTTTGTTTGCTTGCTTACTGTATTGTTTTCTTTGGCAAGGGAGTACTTCAGGGGTGGAGGGAGGATATGGGGGACCAGTAGGTGAGCAGAATTAGGGTGCATGACGTAAAACTCTCCAAAAAAAAAACAAAAAATAAGTTAAATTAAAAAACAAAACCAATCAACCAACCAACCAAACAAACAAAACCCCGCAACGGCTCCCAGGGCTGGGGATGTAGCTCAGCTGGCAGAGAGCTTGCCTATGATGCACGACGCCTGGGGTTCTAGTCCCAGGCACCGCATATAAACCGTGCATAGTGGCAAGCATCATAGTCCCAGAGCATCGAACATTTTGTTTGTTTGAGACAGGGCCCCTCTATCATAGCCCTGGCTGTCCTGGAACTCTCTGCACAGACCAGGCTGACTTTGAACTCATAGATCTGCCTGCTTCTAGAGCACAGGATTAAAGATGCGTACCACCACACCCAGTTGGCACAGAAGTTTAAGGTTGTCCTCAGCTACAGTGTTGGAGGTCATCCTGGGCAATGCGAGTCCCTCTCTCAACGAAATAAAGTGGGAACCCTCAGTGGCTCAAAGACAAGTCCCAGCTGGCTGCTTTCTGCCAGCTTAGGCCATTTTCCTCCAGCTATGTCTTGCCTTGAGGCATTTTACTGCCCCAGACGCCTCACCTCTGGGGTCAGTTCAACTCAACGCCTCCTCCAGGGATCTTTTTGCTAAGGTCGCTTTCTGGCTTTCACCGCATTAGGTCAAAAGTAGGTGTTCGCCAGGCGGTGGTGGCACACGCCTTTAATCCCAGCACTCGGGAGGCAGAGGCAGGTGGATCTCTGTGAGTTCGAGACCAGCCTGGTCTACAGAGCTAGTTCCAGGACAGGCTCCAAAGCCACAGAAAAACCCTGTCTCGAAAAACCAAAAAAAAAAAAAAAAAAAAAAAAAAAAAAAAAAAAAAAGTAGGTGTTCATTTTTCAGCTTCCATCCTTACGGAGTTCTCAACAGAGGCGCTGCTAAAGAGCCCCAGGCACAAGGGAGGAAGAGAGGTGTGGCCTTCATACTAAGGGGCAGGGCTGGACTGGGACTTACATAGTCAGCCAGGAAGGCAATCCCATGAGGGAAGCGATTGGGATCAGGCAGCAGGCGGCCTTTGGAATCACGCCCACCAATCCAGCAGTCGTCGATGTTGAGGTATACATAACCAAGGTCCCGCCATCCATCCTGGGCCAGCCGGTCAGCCATCTCCATGAAGAGCCGTTCACTAGCAAGGGATGGAAGGATGGTGTTGCTCAGTAGTTCAGGCTGTCCTGCATTTCTGCTCTTTTCTCTGCTCTGAGTGTGAATTCTGGCTATAAAAATCATACCTCTAGCCTTTAATCCCAGCACTGGGGAGGCAGAGGCAAGCAGAACTCTGTGAGTTCCAAGACATCCAGGACTGTTACACAGAGAAACCCTGTCTCAAAAACAAACCAAAATTATACCTCTAGCTGGGCAGTGGTGGCACACGCCTTTAATCCGAGCAGTCTGGAGGCAGAGGCAGGCGGATCTCTGTGAGCTCAAGGCTAGCCTGGTCTACAAGAGCTAGTCCAGGACAACCAGGACTGTTACACAGAGAAAACCTGTCTTGAAAAACAATCATACCTCTAGCTGGGCGGTGGTGGCATATACCTTTTAATCTTAGCACTTGGGAGGCAGAGGCAGGCTCTTTGAGTTCAAGGCCAGCTTGGTCTACAAAGTGAGTTTCAGGACAGTCAGGGCTACAAAGAGAAACACTGTCACACAAAGCCAAAAGGAAAAAAAAATCATGCCTCTGCTGTCAGCTGAGGACTAGACCAGATAACAAGAGTAAATGGCCTCCCAGAATTGTGTCAGGGTGGGGCAAAAGAGGTAGTCTGGCCCCTAGGCCAAAGGAAGCACAAGGGGCCTGCTTGACCTTTTATCTCTTTCCAGTTACCTCAGGGGCCAGGTCCACCTCTGGACCCTACCCACTGAGGCTCCACTGAGGCCCCGCATAGGTCACGGGACTAGGTTTCAGTCTGTAGTCTCCCTCGGCTTGGCAATTCCAACCTTGCACTTTGTGCTGGTGAGTGTCTCCCACCCCCCTTTTGCTGCCCTGGGTGTCCAGATCTTACTCACCTGATGCAGTTCTTTGGGTCCTGGTCACAATCGATGTTACAGCGGAAACGCTCCCAGGCCAGCCAGCCCATGGGTGGCGTTCGCAGGAGTCCGTTCTCCAGCATCAGTACCTGGGTCACCAGGGCCAGTAAGAGCACTGAGGGGAAGGTGGACAGTGACTTGTATGTAAGTGGCTCCCACAGCCTCTCAGCCTCATCATCACCTCAGCCCCCCCCCATGTCCCTCTTAGTCAATAATTCCCTCTATGCAGCCCAGTGGGAACTGAGACTACTCAGTTCAGGTTAGAGTTGACTCGGTCCGCACCTGCGGTCGTGGGGAAGGTGCACGGGGCACAGCAATATGTTAAAAAAGCTGGGCAACCCACTCACTGTTGGCATAGCCTGGGAATCAACAGAACTGACCCCCTGAAGTCATGTCCTTGAAATATGTGGGACGAGATCCCTCTCTCCCTCCCTACACAGAAGTGGCAGTACATTGTGGCCAGATTCTAGGTTGCTGAGGCCTTGGGGGCTCTCTGCTCTCCACCTCAGAAAGCCACAGAAGGGCCTAAGGAGGTTGGTCAGGATGGACTCATACCCAGCTGCTCACCTATATGAGCCCTTTCCTCTTGGATTTCAGTTTCCTTACATGTAAGTGACTGTACCCACTTTATGGGGTTGCTGTGGCAGGCTGCTACCCGGTAAGATAGGGCCGCTACACCGGAGCAGGACTGAGAAAGGAAGTGCCCCTCTTTGGAGGGGAAATGATTCCAGGCTGGGGAGCATCTCCTTGCTTTTCCTGGCCCAGCTCCAAGAAGAGGAGAGGAAGTGTTCTTCCCACATACTCACATCAAGAAAGAGAAATAAGTATCAGGCAGAGTTCTGGTTCCCCTTCCACAGTCCCTCCCGGAAAGCCACCGCAGTAGGTTGTGGGTACCTGTCTTTTGCAGCATCGCCTCGGAGTCAATTATCAGGACCCAACTGAATCGTCTCTGCTCCAATCAGCTTTATATGTTGAACTGTGGAAGATAACATGTTAAATATCGCACTGGGCATAGCGTTGCATACCTTTATTTTTAATCCCGGCCCTGGGAGGTAGAGGCAGGAGGATCTCTGTGAGTTCCAGGCCAGCCTGGTCTATACAGCGAGTTTCAGGCCAGCCAGAGTTACACAGGGAGACCCTGATTCAAAAAGGGGATGTTATTGCCGAGTGTTGAGGCGCACACCCCTTAATCCCAGCACTCTTCGAGTTTGAGGATAACCTTGTCTACATAGTGAGTTCTAGGACAGTTGTGGTACCAAGTCGCTTTCATTACCGACGCTCCTTCCCCTGCCATCACTACCCCGAGTCTGGGCTCTTTAGAACTACACGGAGTCTAGACATCGTCCTTTTGCCAGACCAGTGCTCGAAAGCGGCGGCCATTGGTTCCAGGAAGCCCAGGAAGAAGAGAGACGTTGGGCCCTACCAGGCTCCGGATCCCCGTGCGGAGTCCGGGTTCTCGGTCTGGGTCCTCAAAGATCCCAGGTCCAGAGTACTCCTTGGTCTCCTTGGTCCTCCTAGGTCCACCTTCTCGGTCGCTCAGTCCGCTGTACGTTTAGCCTCAGGAGCCCCCAGCTGCGGCCTCCACGTACCTATAGCGACCCGGGAGGCGGGGCATCGCGGGGCAACCCTTCCGGAGCAACCAATCAGAATCCCCTAGCAACGCCGTGCCCTCCCTCTATGCCCCAGCGCCCAGCCTCCATAAGCACCGCCCATTTAAACTGGCGTTCTGCGCGCTCCTGAGGCGCGCCCTCGTGGAATCGGCACCGGGACCCTGTGCGCGTTCGGGCACGCAGCGAGTCTGCCTGATCTCCTTCGTGCACCGCCCCAGGGGCGCGGGCGATGGTCCGCACTGCTCGCGCTCAGTAAGTGGAAGTGCAGTGAATTTCTACTGATAGCCAAAGGAAACAGCCCAGAAACTTGGTCTTTAACCGCTAAAAACGGTAGTGAAGAGGCTGGATGGGAATTCAGCCCTTGAAAGGTTAGGAGTCTGTCCCCTCCATCTGACGCCCATCCACTTCCCAAATTCATTCACTCATTCAATTATTTGTTGAACATATGCTGGTGCCAAATGCTATTTCTGAATGCCTTGGCCCTGATGGTAGTCATAACCTTCCCCTAACGGGATAGTACCGTCTCTCCACAACCCAGGTAACGGCAAGCGTACTTTGTGCCACGATCCAATGCTCAGTATGCTCTTCCTTCTTTTCCCCTCCGCCTTCATATGTAACTCTCCACACATCCTGTGCTCTCTACCTTCGAACTTCACCCCTCATCACACTGCAAGCCTGGGCTCATCACTTCTGCCTGGTTCACAGAAGGCCCTCAACGACCTTCTGCTTCCATCTAAGGAGACTTTCTCCACAGCAGACAAGGCAAACCTTGAAAACCCAGCTCTGCTGGCTGGAGAGATGGCCTCAGTGCTTAACAGCACTCGTTGCAAAGCAGAGGACAGGGGTTCAGGGTCTAGATTCACATAGTGGCTTCAACAACTATCCCTACCCCAGTTCTAAGGGATCTGACACCGTCTTCTGAACTCCGAGACATGCACATGGTGCACACATACATACATGCAGGCAAAACTCTCAGACACATAAAATAACCTAAATAGAACCCAACCCAGCCCTGGTCACGCCTCTCTCCGTTTGGAGAAATGGCTTTCCTAAGCCCCACCCTCTACCTTCTGATCCTGTTTCTTACAGTTATCTTCCTCATTGCCCTCCTTGTGATTCTTCAAACACAGTAGCTCCGGGGCCTTTGGAACTAGCGGGGCTCTCTGCCTACAATGCTGACCCCCTCATATCCCTTAATTATCTCTCAAAGTGAGGTCTACTCCGAACGTTTAAACCTCAAGCTCCCCACCGTGAGAAGCCCACGCTCCATTTCCCTGGATGGTTTTCGCCTTGTAACATATTTACTCCAGGTGATACTTTGAATTGAAGAAAAGTAAACACCCACCGCACCCCACAAAAACCAGCCAGCACAACTCAAAGCAGGGTGTAGGTACTCTTCTTTTTCTCTACATTGTGAGGTCAGGGAGGGGACCTCAGAGTTGACCTAAATGTCAAGGAGTTCTGAGGCTAGTGATGGGGGTGGGGTGAGAAGGAAGGGCTCTCTGGGCTTCAGGAACTGCAGAGAAGAGGTTGAGGTGGGAACCCACAAGCTCCTGGGCAGACGTTTAAACGCATTTGCCCTCGGCTTCTGGGAGTCCTGCCTGCCTTAGTGCTATCCTGCAGTCTTCCCTTAAGCGTTTGGATGGACAAACTCCAGGTAGAGCTTTGGGATCACAGGTGAACTGCAGCCCCTCACTGGCAGGTGACAGAAGCCGTAATGGCCAATTTCTAGAGGCAGAGATGGGGCTGACCCAAGGACTTAGTTGCAGGCTCTTTAGGAGCTAGCCTTATGAAGCGCCCTATCCGATGAATTGCCCGGCTTGGCTCTGCCAGCGTGGGGTGGGACTGGCTGGGCGGTAAGGGGGAATTTTTTGGGGAAAAAAACTGTCTAATTCTTTCTCCTTTGGTGGTGGGCTGGAGGTCTGTGGGTAGCCTGACGTTGGGCTTGGGGTTCGAGGTCATTCATCACCGACAAGTCCTGCGGCTCAGGCGGGTCCTCACCGCCAGGTCCTCAGTTTCCCTCTGGTGTGCGTGCCGAGGCGACTTTGCAGATCCCGAGGCCTGGTGGGTACTGGGCGGGGAGAGACCGGGGCGGTAACACGAGCCTCCCGGGCGGGGTCTCCTGGCTCCCGCGGCCACGTCTGCGGCCCGGGCGGAGGCGCGGGGTCCGGAGCAGAGAGCGGTCGCAAAGCACCCGACTAGGCAGGCTCAGGCTCTGGAGGTGAGTGCGGGTCGGGCGGGCTCCGGGAGGAGGTGACCTGGAGGGCGTGGCTGAAGAGCCCGGGCGGGATCCAGGGATCCAGGCACCCATAGGGCCGCCCCAGGGAGAGGCCTCATCTTTAGGCGCTCGTGGGCTCGGCCCCTCCGTGGGGCCCACGAAGGGCTGCGGCTAGAAGAGCCTTCCTCTTTTCCGGGCCTGCTTTGCTTCTCTTTGGAGCCCTTCTTCCCCTCCCGCATCCTGGCTTCAATTTCATCACTCACTACTTGATTTATTCATTATTTAATTGTATTTGCTTACTGCGTGTCTCTCCTACTGCAAAGTAGATTTCAGGAGCACTGGGTCATAGTTTTGTCTCTTGATGTATTCCTACGAATTCAGCAAGTCTGCACAGGGCTGATTATTGGTGGTTACTGGACAATCAAGCTTATAGACACCCTGCAAATGGGGACAGTGAAAAGTGAAAACATTGACAGAGGGGGGCGAAATGGACAAAGCCAGAACATGGAGGACTGCTGGCCAATTGACCTCAGAACAAGCCACTTTGGGTGCAGCAGCGATCACGAGAGATTTTTGTGATGATGTTCCAACAAGTGCTAGAAGGGAAAGCCTTGGCAGGCACTCAATTGACCTACCTAGCCTCAAGGGGTCCATAATTACAGTCAAGAGACAGTGGGCTAAGATACAGAGGGAAGTTCAGTAGCTGGGGGGGGGGAGAGTGGGGGCATTGAAACCAGGAGGCAGGGCTTTCTGCAAGAAGCTGCCCTTTCGCTGGGCCCTACAGTTAGAACAGCAATTGTCACATTTTTTGAGAGCTGTTTTGCAGGCTCTGTGAGAACCATGTGGCTGAGCAGTGCGGTTAGATAAGAGGCCACCCTGTCCCCTCTTTAGGCTCTTCTGATAAGTGTGTCACCAACAAGACCCCACCAAGAATGTGTGAGACCATTTACTGCTTCTCCTTCATTATGACTCTTGCGGGTTGAGCTGCCATAGGAACCTTGGAGCACCAGAATTTGGTGGGTGTCTTCAGTACCTCCAGTGCCACTGGAGTTTAAGAGAGCAGGTCCCCTTTGATCTATTGCTGGCTGCCCCTTCCCCTGACTCCATCTGGCTCTGAAATCACAGGTTCTTATTAAGGTGGGCTGGACACCACTGAGAGAGGCTGGTAGGGGCCCAGGAAGGTCACAGGATTTGAGCATGGCAGCAGGCCTGCAGTCCTAGGACTGGGGAGTTGGAAACAGTTGGATCAGCTCAAGAGCATCCTTGGAGCCCGGTGATGGTGGCGCACGCCTTTAATCCCAGCACTCGGGAGGCAGAGGGAGGCGGATCTCTGTGAGTTCGAAACCAGCCTGGTCTACAGAGCTAGTTCCAGGACAGGCCCCAAAGCCACAGAGAAACCCTGTCTAAAAAAAAAAAAAAAAAAAAAAAAAGCATCCTTGGATACATAGTGAGTTGGAGAGCAACATGGGCTACATGTTTAAAAAACAAGCAAACAGAAACCATCATATCAATGTCCTGCCATTCTTGTTCTTCTGATACAATTGTCTTTTCTGTTACAGTTTTTTGATATCCAGGTTTTTTTGTGCGTGGCCCTTTGATGACCTTTGAAAAGGACAGCAAGGAAGATTAGTCAGTGTCCTTCACAGATGAAGTCTGGGAGCTGCAGGGACACAGTAGCAGCCACAGGACTGGGCTGGAGGTCTTCTGAGCTTGGGGCCTTTCCTCCAGGTGCTCCCATCTCTACCTCAGCATTCTTGTGGACGCCATGAAGCTGAACAAGAGGAGCATGGCCCACTATGCTCTGAGCGATTCTCCAGCAGATCACACCGGCTTCCTTCGTACTTGGGGGGGACCAGGGACAGCACCTACTTCCAGTGGTGCTGGCCGAAGATACTGGTTTGTGCTCAAGGGCAACCTGCTATTCTCTTTTGAGAACAGAGAAAGCCGGACCCCTCTGAGCCTGGTGGTATTGGAGGGCTGCACGGTGGAGCTGGCCGAAGCTCCTGTGCCTGAGGAATTTGCCTTCGCCATTCGCTTTGATGCCCCTGGAGTGCACCCACACCTGCTGGCAGCAGATGGGCAGGTTGCCCAGGAGGCCTGGGTAAAGGCACTATCCCGAGCCAGCTTTGGCTACATGAGACTTGTAGTCCGAGAACTGGAGAGCCAGTTGCAGGATGCCCGTCAGAGCCTGGCCTTGCATCGCTGTGTGTCCCAGAAGTCTGTTGCCAGCTGTAGTAAGCCTTGGACTACTGACCGCTCAGCTCCAGGCCCTGAGAATGGTCACTTTCTCCCTAGGGACCGAAATCCCAATGGGTCTGTGGAAGAAAGGGGAAGCAGGCCAATGGGTCGGGATTTGACTGAATGGGAGTTGCAGGGCCCTGCCAGCCTCCTCCTAAGCAGGGGACAGAGCCCCGTGTCCCCTGAGACCTCCTGTTTCTCTACCCTGCATGACTGGTATGGGAAGGAGATCATGGAGCTAAGGCGAGGATGGCAGCAGAGGGCCAAGGGGAGCCAGCCAGAGAGCAAGCAACAGGATAGGCCCTGATTCCCGGCCCTTTGCACTGTGACCCTGACCTGCTGGTCAGGATGCCAGGGTCAGTACTTCAGGAGTTAAATGTTTACTCATTTCCCAGATTGCTGTGTGTGTGTGTGTGTGTGTGTGTGTGTGTGTGTCCCTCCTGCTCTGTAGACTTTCTCCAACTTGCAATCCTCCCCTCTGCCTGGAGTGAACTGAGGAATCATGACTTCCAACCTGTTTCCTGAGGCCTAGAAAGGCCAGGTGGCTGATGGGAACATAATGTAATGCAGGAAGGGGCTGTGCCCCCGCCCCTGCAGGACACTCTAGCTGTAATGTCCAACATAAGAAGTCTTGGGCATCTGAATACCAGCAGTGCCAGCAGAAGTGGCCTGAGGACTGACATCGACATGGTTTGTGCAGGGCTCTCTGTAGGAGAGGCTCTCCCGGTGCTAAGGGGGATTTTTCTTCTCCCCCGCCACCTTGTCAATGCCCAGTGCTGGACATGGCCCTGGGAGAGGCAGGCAGCCTTTATCTAGGAGCAGCCCTTCCTGATCTGCTGTCCACGGATTGTTCCCAGTGCTTGTCTGCCAAGAACCCTCGTGGCTACTTTCTCCTGTATCATGCCAAGTATTGTTTTCTAAGAGGACAAATGGCTGGGTCTTATAGAGCCAGAAGCCAGGCCCATCCGTCCCTTTATGTATGTGCGGTGACGGTGACTGTGGGAAAATGCGGGGCTTGATAGAGCTATACCTCTTTCCCAAACAAAACCTGCCTCTGCCTGACCACCCTGCTTTCCCTGTCTGGGGACTTGGGGCAACCTGACCCAAATCCACCCAGGCTTAAAGGCCAGTCTTTGGCCTCCAGGAGACTTGAGTTTCATGATCTCCTTGGCCAGGGCCAGGTCCTGTGACGCCAGGCATGGTTCTCAGCCTGCACATAGCATCATAGCCAACTACCCTTGATTGTACACACAAGTACTACGCCTTTGCTAAGTTTCTTGTTAGTGTTCTTTAGTTTGGTTTTTGGAGACCAGCTCTCACTTTGTAGCCCATGAAGGCCTGGAACTCATTCTTAGCTTTGCAAGCACTGGGAATAGTTATGAACCACCACACCCTGTTTGGTTTTGTTTGCTTTGTAGCAGGTCTTGGTTCTCCGGAAGGCCTGCCCACCCAGCTCCTCATACTAGCACTTCTGGCTTTAGGTTTTGTTTTGTTTTCTTATAATCAGAACAGTAAAGTTTGCAGGGTGTGGTAGCAAAGGAGGTTGAGGAGGATCAGGAGTTCAAGGCATTCCAAGGTTTTTGACTAGGCTGGGCTACACGCGAGACCCTTTCAGAAAATTATTCATTTTTGTTATTATAACCTGTGTTTACAAATGAAGAGTCAGGAGTCGGAGCTGCGAAGCCGGTGTCCGAGCCTAGGGACTGAGTGAGTCCGGGAACCTGTTCTGCTGGTGCAACCTCCACCAGTACAGTTTTCTGCTCTTGCTTGTTGCCTCGCCCTATGGGAAGCCTGCTGCTCACTGCTGCTATTGTTCGAGTGTTCACAGACGCTATGGGCTCTTGTTAACTTTTTATTGTTAAAGTTCCTTTTTATAAATTCAAATACCAAGTAAAGTTTTTCATTACACATTTCGGTTCCTTAATTAATACAAGTCTTTCAGAGGCCAAGGTCACTAACACCTTTGCAAAGGGAACTCAAAACGGACCGCCCGGCCCTCCGGAGCCCGGGAGGGGCGTCGTTGTACTCCTGACGTCACCACGTAGGGCGGGTGCCCGGGGCTTTCCCACGGCGACAGGAACGCAGGCACTGCGCAGACGTAAGGGCTGTGCGTCCGTACCCAGAGTCTCGCGAGGCTTGGAGGCGGGTTTTCTGCGAGAAGGCCAAACGGGGTGTGTGGGGTGTGGATCCCTGCGAGGGGCGGAGCAGAAGATGGCGTCCGCGGTGGCTTGCCGGCTGGCCCGGATAGCAGTCCGACCAGGGGCTCTCTGGAGCAGGCCGAGCGGGAGGAGAGGTGGCGATGTCTCCGTCGTACCGGGTAGCTCAGGTCGCAGCCTGGTACCGACGAGGTCAGTCATCGTCACTCGTAGCGGAGCCATCTTGCCCAAGCCGGTCAAAGTGAGTGTCTGACGAGGCGGGGCGAAGGGATCGAGGCCAGTCATTGGGGGGGAGTGTGTGTGGTCTGTGTTGATTGACGGGCGTAGAGGCCAATCATAGTATTGGCACGGACTGGGCTGTGAACCTAGGACCCCAATTTGCGCTGTTGGGTTGCTGACTTTGACAGGTGGAGGAAAAATGCATAAAACCAGTGTTAAGCTGGATTCCTGGACACAAGCTGGAAGGCAAGCAGCGGAACGTGCACTGTCTTGTCTTGAGGGACGCAATGACCCATTCTCTAGGACTAGAAGAAGAGCTTTGTGTCATTTATACAAATCACACAATCTCTATCTCAGAGGTGATGAGATTAAACAAGCCTGAAGAAATCTGAAGGGAATGCGGAAGTAATATACTTAGCAAAAAAAAAAAAAATGAAATGAAGGAAAAAGGACGTGAAGAAGCAGGCCCTTCTATCCTGGGAAGTGTGCAGAGAATCTTGCAGAAAGGTTTTCACAGATGAATCAGGGCAGAGCGGGCGTCCGAAGCTGGTAGCAAAGTTAGGTCTTGACAACGAGGACCACGTCCTGGTTTTTTTTTTTTTTCCCCACCACTGTATGCTGTTACTTGCCCTCAGTGCTCTTAAAGAAAATGGAAAGTCTCTTATACCAAAGGTGTGCCTTTTGACTGCGGGGCTGTGTAGAGGCGAAGGGTTAACGAAATCTTTTAGAGATAGTCTGACCCTTACTAACAGTTGACCGCAGTCGGGATTCACAGCAAGAAGCAGGAAGGTTTAGCTGTTTTATAAAAAGGCACAGCTAGGGGAACCAGAAAGCACACACTAGTGAAATGTCACCCGCTTCCCTCCCGTCCGTGCTGTCTTTTTTCATGGTTTTAAAGTTTAAAGTGCTGCAGTTCCTCCAGTTACTGAAGAGAACTGCCTGGAAGAGCCTTTCAGTGCACATCTTCTTAAATTCATTTTTGATGTGTATGGGTGTGGTGTTCCATGGAACTGGAGTTACTTCCTTATGAGAATTGATGTGGGTGCTGAGAACCAAGCCCAGGTCCTCTGGAAGAGGAGCCAGCTCGTAAGTGCTGAGCCGTCTGTCGAGCCCCTGAAACTCACCTGGATGTGTGTAGGGCTGATCACAGTCTAGCCGCGGTAGTCTCTCACCCCGTTGTTTATGGTTTTTGCAAGGAATTAGCAGGTGGTCTAATTTTTTTAAAAACCCTAATTTTTAGTTGTTTATTTTCCTAAATTTAGTTTAGCTTTATGCTTTTCTTTCTGGCATCCATTTGATGGCCACCAAACTCACTGTCTCTTTTTGGCTCTGAATTTTTCCAAAGACTTTAAACCTCAGTTGGTGTCTGGATCTGGGGTCACTGGAGGAAATGCCCCTGAGGGCCAGGGCTTGAGGTGCAGCCACTGGTCTCCAGGACTCACAGCACTTCTCTCTCGGCAGATGTCCTTTGGTCTTCTCCGTGTGTTCTCCATTGTGATCCCCTTTCTCTATGTTGGGACACTCATTAGCAAGAACTTCGCTGCTCTACTTGAGGAGCATGACATTTTTGTTCCAGAGGATGATGATGATGACGATTAACAGGTAAGACTTGCCTTTTTCCTAATTGGACGGGAACAAGAAGTAGGGTGGAGCTTCTGGTCATGATGCAGTCTGGCCTGTAGCAGCATAGCTACACTCAAGGCAGAAGGCTCAATAAGTTCACCCACTGGAGAAGTCTGTCTTTCTCTTACATTGGATGGGGTAATTTGACTGAGTCACTGTTAATCTCTGCCAATGGGTTAAGATCCTAGCTAGCCTTTCAGTTGCCCTTGATGTACCTTCATTCAGTCAGCTGACATTTTGATGATTTAATATGCTTTACACTTTATACAAGTCATGTAGCCTCTGCCTCAGAAGTGGAGGGGTAAACCAGCGAATCCTGAGGTGGGTAAAGGGAATATGGGAAGCGGAGGGGTGCTCAGTCCTGAGAAGTGTGCAGGGAATTTTTTTTTTTTTTTTTTTTTTGATTTTCAAGACAGGGTTTCTCCGTAGCTTTTGGTGCCTGTCCTGGAACTAGCTTCTGTAGACCAGGCTGGCCTTAAACTCACAGAGATCCACCTGCCTCTGCCTCCTGAGTACTGGGATTAAAGGTGTGTGCTACCCCCACCTGGCCCTTTTAAAATAATGTCTTTATTTTATGTGCATTGATGTTTTGCGTATGTATATGTCTGTGTGAGGGTGTCAGATCCCCTGGAAATATAGTTATAGACAACTGTGAGCTGCCATGTGGATGCTGGGAATTGAACCTGGGTCCTCTGGAAGAGTTGCCTGTGTTCTTAACCACTGAGCTGTCTCTCCAGCCCTGGAATCTTGAATTTTTACAGATGAATCAGGACAGCTGTGAAAATTGGTGTCTGGAGCTAATGGCAAAGTTAGGTCCTGGTATCTAGGATTCTTAACCAACTTAGTGAGGCCAACAGCTTCTGACTGAAATTTAGACACTGGCAAGGGGGTGAGAGACATAGCTCAGCTGATAGCCCTGGCAGAGGAACTGGGTTCTATTCCCAGCACCCACTTGGGCAGCTCACAGCCACCTGTAACTCCAGCTCCAGGGGATCCAATACCCACACATCCTAAATACACATATAAATATAAGCAGTTTTTAAAGTCAACTAGCAAATCCTCACTGTTGTCAGGTTTTTGAGTTAGCTCACTATGTAGTTCTGGCTGTCCTAGAACTCACTATATAGAACAGGATGACTTCAAATTCAGAGATCGGCCTGCCTCTGCCTTCTGAATGCTAGGATTAAAGATGTGTACCCTGTTACTGTACCAGCCTAGCCAGTATCCTGCTTACAAACCCTTGTTGCAGGGCTCCCAGTGCTCTTCCCATTCAGCTTTCCTGTGCTGTAATGTATGCTGCATGGCTAGAGACTGTCACAGGCAAAGACACTCCTGCCTCTCTGCCTGGCATTCTTATTATGATCTGGTCATACCTTCTACGCCATTTTTATCTTCCACATTCCCAGCTACAGGAAGAAGTAACCTTGAGAGGGCCATGTCTTCTGTGGTCATCCCAGAGTGGGCTGAGGAGGAGTCATCATTTTATTCTAACATTTACTTATATGTCTCTATGTGTATGAATACGGTATTCATGGAGGCCAGAGACTGTTAGATCTCTTGCCATTTTTTATGGAACTGAACTCTGGTCCTCTGCCAGATCAGTACGGGTTCTGATCGGCTGAGTCACTGCTCTGCTCGAGTTACCTGCATTCTTATCAGCCTCCAAGTATTAGCCCACTGTTGTACCACTCTGTCTTAAGTCCACCCATTCTTCCTTGTTTTTGTTACAGCTCCCTTTACCTCCTATTTGAAAGTGACTGTTGCCAAAGCCTGGTGTGGCATCACAAGCTTTTGTGATCCTGGTACCCAGGAAGTAGAGGCAGAGCTCAAGGATAGCCTGGACAACAGGAGCAGAAGAGAAATGCCTTGGGTATTTCTAGTGGCACACAGCAGTAATCTCAGCACTGGAGAGGTAGAGGCAGGAACAAGTTCAAGATTATCCTTGGCTACATTGAGTTTGAGACTACTCTGGGCTACATGAGACTGTGTGTGGTTTATTTATTTATTTAAAGTGACTGATGCTTGTCTTTCTTCCAGGACATGGAGAAGTGCAGAAAGGAGAAAGCACTAATAGACCAAGTGGTCGCCCGCTCAGCTCCTTCCCTATTGGCAGAAGGGTCAGAGAAGGCCAGCCCTCAGCCTCACCTCCTCATGGTTTGTGACAACAGCCCAGAATCCTATGTTTTTGGGAGGTTCCCGCACATGTGTTGTCACAGAGCACTGGAAACTGTGAGCGACATAATAAATACGAGCCATGTGTGACTGAAAGGCTGCTCCCGTTTCTCACTCCCAGCAGGCTCAGTTGCACTTTGTCGTCTCTTCTGTGTTCAAGAAACATCTTATTAAAAGCCAGGACATCCAGGCTGTTACACAACCACAGACATCATTGGGGGGGGACCAAGAACTTTTTTCCCTTTAGTTATGTGTATCTGTTTATGGGTGCCCCTGGAGGCCAAAGGCATAAGATCCTCCTGGAACTGGAGTTAAAGATGATTACGAGTTGTCTCAAGTGGGTGCTGGGAGCCAACTCTGGTCCTCTGCAAAACCAGCAAGAACTCTTAACCAATGAGCCATCTTTCCATCCCCCTAACCCCCATCCTGAGACTTAAATTTTTTTTTAACTTTATAAATCTTCCCTCAGAGCCACTTAACTGTAGCCTTAAGACTAGAGGGGTTGCCACTTGCCAAACGTGGAGTTTTGATACTTTTTAATAGTTAGAATGTTTTGTAAAATTTGGGCTCCTGGGGGGGGGATCCCTGGTGCTGTGGGGTCACTCAGTAAGTATGTCAGTACCTTTCGCCAGCATTCAGGACTGTTCAGGGAAGGAGGCAGAAGCAAGAACATTGGTAGTTCAAGGTCATCCGTGGCTATAGAGTGAGCATGGGGCTATCCTTGGCTACATGAGATCCTGTTTGAATAAAGTGCAGAAGTAGTAGGATGAGTCTGTTCTTTGTTTGCATCGAACGATTGTGTGCCTGCACAATGAGTAGGAAGTTAATTTCATTTTGAAGATCAGTGCTTCTAAGTAGAAGGTCTAGGCCTTGAGCAGCCATTTTCCAGAGCAAAATAGATCATCTTGTCAGTCCTACTGCTGCTCCCATAGTGTGGGCTCTGTTCCCTCTGACAGGAAGAGCCTTAACACCAAGATCCCAATCTTAGAAGTACAACTACAGTAACTAAGTGCATGCATAGTACGCACAACTACAGTAACAGTTCATACAGTACTCAGCTTCATAGCCACGGGGACAGAGTCTGGACAGATGAGAAGCCTTATCCCTCCCTGCTTCCTCATGCAAGGATCCCATACAGCTGTCAGCAAGCACCATACTCCAGAAAAAGGAAATAAACATGGCGTGCACACCAAAGACACACACTTAAGCAAGAAGTGAGAGACCACAGGAAATGGGTTCACTGGTGCAAGTTTATCACAAAACAACCATCAAATAATGAGTTTATTTATACTCTAAAATAAATATTAACATGCACCTTATGGGTCATGGCCAGAATAGAACTTGGACAGGAAGTCCTTTGGCCTCGGTGTTTCTGTTTCATGGAAGAACCGCATAATGTGTGTCCGCTGTTTCCACACGTGGATGGTTTCCTGGAGCTCCATCTTCCCCTGGACACGTGAACGGAAGGTAGTCAGTTCAAGCCATCAAATGAAGAGCACAAGACTCAAGTTCAGTACTCTGTTTGGTATGGACTTGCTAATGACCCTGGGTGAGTAAATCTTCTAAGGCGAGTTTCTGCATTTGGAGGGTGGTGGGACTCAATGACCTGCCGCTTTTCCAAGAGAAGTAACTAACAGGTTCCCAGGACTGCGCAACACGATTGGTTTAACGTCATGTTTCTATGTAACAGTGTGTAGTATTTCCTGGTTTGCCATGAGCTACTGCTGATGGACCATGACTGGCCTGGGAAACACAAGGGCCACAGTCTGACCTCATCTGTACCATCCCTGAAGCCATCCTGCTTTCCTCTTCTGGTGGTTGGCATACTGGTGAGACAGTGACTTCCAGGGGTGGCATCTTTCCTGCTTCCCATTTTTTTTTTTTTTTTTTTTAGTTTTTTTGAGACAGGGTTTCTCTGTAGCTTTCGAGCTTGTCCTGGAACTAGCTCTTGTAGACTAGGCTGGCCTCGAACTAACAGAGATCCACCTGCCTCTGCCCTGCTTTCCACTGTTAAAAAGTCACAAAATGCGAGGCCCCAGTGGACTTCCTCTTCAGCAATCTCACAAGCTTATTTAGGGGCTGAGGTAAGAGGCTGTCTGATTCTAACCCAGGCTACATAGTGAGTGTTTCAAAAGTGGAGACCTCCATGCCTTTAATTCTGGCACTTGGGAGGCAGAGGCAGACAGATCTCAGGGCCAAGCCAGGTCTCCACAGTAAGACCCTGGCTTTAAAAATAAAAGAAATGGTGACCTCCAGTTGAACTAGGAATCAGCAATAGCTGCTAAGTCAAGAGCTGTCTCCCTGCCCCCTTTCTTTTGGGTGGGGAGGGGAATTTGAAACAGAATTTCTCTGGGTAGCCCTGGCTGGCCTTGAACTCACAGAGACTGCCTACCTCTGCCTGAATGCTAGGATTAAAGGTGTGCACCACCACCCAGCAGCAGCTGGCTTTTAATGAAGACTCAGAAGCACAAGACAAGCTGGCAGATCTTTTAAGTTCATCAGAGAGGGTAGTTACCTTAATGACCAGGAGATCAACCACTCTGGGGTCTGTGACATGAGCATTCTTCATGAACATTTCTCGGACTTTATCCCGTCCCTGTTTTATGGTGATGTCCAACTGGAATAATTGCACTAAAGAGAAAACATGATGACTCTGTAGAAATTAGACCATTTAAACATGTTTTTAGATGCCTATATCAGTGGATGTCCAGTGAAGAAGAGGCTCCCACATAGCCCTACCCTCAGCCCGGACACAGGTCATGCTAAATTGCCTGGAGCTCAATGCTCTTGACTTGACCTCCAGAGAAGCTGGGAGTACAGGTGCTTTTTGTGCGCATGGGAGTGAGTTAGGGTAGAATCTAGGGCCTTTCACATGTTAGGCAAGGGCCCTATCACTGAGGACTATCCAGAAACAGTGGCACATGCCTGCAATCCCAGCATTGGGAACTTAGGCTGGTGGATCAAAGGTCTGAGGGAAATCCTAACAAAAATAAAAACAAGCCCAGTGCGGTGGCACACAGAGGCAGATGGATCTCTATGAGTTTAGGGCCTGTCTAGTCCAGCAAGTTCCAGGCCAATCAAGGGCACAGACTGAGACACTGTCCCAGAAAAACAAAAGAACAAAAAGTCACAAAAAGGTACCCCCCCCAAAGTCATAATAATCTCTGAAAACGATTAATTAGGGACAGCTGTGTTTAAATCAAGTTTGAGCCTTTCATTATACTCAAATTCAGTGATCTTGGAAATGGTAAACACTACAAATTTAGGCTCTCTGAGAGTAGCTGAGGGATTTTGGAAAAAAAAACAAAAAAATGGGGCTGTAAGATGACCAGGACACTAAACAAATGCACACTGACACAGAACCTGGAATTTAGAATCTCACTTTTGTGAAGCATCAGACCCAGAGAAACCAAAGTGCTCTCAAGTAAACACGGGTCTCAGGTAGGTTTTGCTCCTTCAGTCTGTTCTAAGAACTGTGAGGAATTCCACNTCTCTCTCTCTCTCTCTCTCTCTCTCTCTCTCTCTCTCCCCCTCTCTCCCTCTCTCCCTCTCTCCCTCTCTCTTTGAGACAGGGTTTCTCTGTGTAGCTTTGGTGCCTGTCCTGGAACTAGCTCTTGTAGACCAGGCTGGCCTCTTGCTCACAGACATCCTCCTGTCTCTGCCTCCCGAGTGCTGGGATTAAAGGTGTGCGCCACCACTGCTTGATTTATAGGCATCATTCTTAAGATCAATATCATGGTACAAGATAGCTGCTCGAACTTCAGCCAGCCCATTTCAGTTTGAGAAGGAAGGAAATGATTGTGTTAGCCTTTAGACGTATTTCCCAGAGGTCCCACGTGATATTTATGTCTCCAGTTCTTAGCCAGACCGAGTGCTTTAATCATACTTAGCTGTAAGAGAAAGCCATGAGAGGTACTCTGTTGGTGTGCATTGCCTCCTGTTGGGAAAGTTGGGTTCTCAGTGAATAACCTAGCGTGCCGACCGAAGCCGAAGAGAGACATATTGTCTTGTCCTGTTCTGTTTCTCGACGTGACACAAACGAGAGCTATGTGGGAAGAGGAGCTTCAGCTGAGAAAAGGTCTTCAGAATCAGATTGCTTGGAGACTGGGAAGGTGGCTCAGCGGTTATGAATTAATTGTTGATATGGGAGGGCCCAGCCACCTCTGGGTAGTACCCCTGGGCACAGGTGGTCCTGGGGTAGAGACGAAAGCAGACTGAGCAGGCAGATAAGCAGTTCCTACATGGTCTGTGCTTCAGTTTCTGCTCCAGGTTGTTGTTGCCTTGACTTCCTGCCCTGACTTTCCTCTGTGATGGACTATAAACTGTAAGCTCCCCAAGTTGCTTTTGGTCGTGGTGTTTTTATCACAGAAATAGATACCTAGCTAAAACACAAATGTTTCAAAGAGATTGGATAGCTAGGCACATTGATATATGTATATATATGTAGTCCCAGCTACTCAGGACCCTGAGACAGATTTGCTTGAGAAGTCTGAGAACAGTCTAGGCGCCATAGCAATAACCCGTGTCCACAGCGAACGGTAAAATCGGCATGGCTAGTATGCTGTAAACCTAGCATTGAGGCAGGATGACCACAGGTTCATGGGTAGTCTAAGCTACAGAACAAGACCCTGTCACAGAGTAAAGTGGTAGTGGGAGAGAGCATATTTCTTTTCTTTTTTTTTTTTTTTTTGGTTTTGGTTTTTCGAGACAGGGTTTCTCTGTAGCTTTTGGAGCCTGTCCTGGAAATAGCCCTTGTAGACCAGGCTGGCCTCGAACTCCCAGAGATCCACCTGCCTCTGCCTCCCGAGTGAGAGCATATTTCTTTAGAAATACTCTTTCTTGACCTGCTTTGTCTGTTTACTTTTCCTTTTGCTACATATTTGTCCTCATGACCGCCACTCCAGAGTGACTGATTTGGCCACATATATAATAAATATCCCTGTCTCTGGGGTTTGTGTTGATTATTTATGCCTGAGAATTGGTTTCATTTCCTATCAGCTCCTTCTGTTGGTGTGCTATGCTGTTGGGTTGCAGCCTCTGAAGACTCTTATTTCCACACAGGCAATCTTGCTGCCAACGACCTCTCCACTTCCCGAACAGGCAGACTACAGAAAGTCCTGGACAGTTATGTGCCCCAAGACATCAGGGACAGGAATCAAGTTCGAGTCACCTCATGGGATGGCAGGAAGTGGGGAGAACTGGAGGGGGACACCTATGACCGGGTAAGTGATTTCTGACCTCTGAGCTCAGGCTTCAGGTCCCATAGGTAAGATCCAGCTCCTGTGTTTTGATTGTGCAGGGCTGTTTTCGGACCTAGACAGTTCTCCATGAGTGACTTGGAGAAAGAGCTATTTGGAGAATTCTCAGTTCAGCTTGGATGACTTGCTACTATTTTCATTAGCGATAGTTGGCAGCAAAAAGAATGTGAACCTAACTGAGTGTGGAAGAAGTTATTAGGCATATTTTATTCCTGAAGTCACTTGGTTGCTTGGAGCCCTCATGAAGATGAGTATGAATGAGAACATGTTATTTATTTCTGAATATTAATACAGCACATAGTGCAAAATTCAGGAGGTATTAGGTGAAAAATAAGCTTTCTTTTTAGACCTGTACATAGTTATCTACTTCCTCTTCCTGCAGACTATTGTTTTTGTTTTCTGTAGCCTTTATAGGTATTTGTAAGTTTCTTAAAAATGGAAATGGTGGCCGGGCAGTGGTGGCACAAGCCTTTAATCCCAGCACTCGGGAGGCAGAGGCAGGCGGCTCTCTGTGAGTTCGAGACCAGCCTGGTCTACAGAGCTAGTTCCAGGACAGGCTCCAAAGCCACAGAGAAACCCTGTCTCAAAAAACAAAATCCAGCACAGTGACAGCACTGAGGGAGACAGCAAGATTCAGGGTGAGCGAGTCATCGCAAGGAAAAGAGGTGTTCTGTAGAAGTAGCGATGAGATTTCAAAATACTAGAGCAAGCTGAGTTAGCAAAGCTAGGGAGACCTGAGAAGCCTCAAACCTGGAGGCTTTCAAGGGCTCCAGGAAGCTACTGCATGGCCTTGGCCAAGTCGTTTCCCTCCGATGGTCCAGTTTGTTTTCCAGAATGGGGAATGGCCAACTGCAAGTCCTTCGCCAGTTTGGTTACAAAATCCAATGGGCATCTGGAACATGTCTGGAACTGTAAGCTGACCCTGGGTTCCAGAAGCTCCCTGGGCTAGCTCTGGAGCCCGGTCCCGTCAATTTGTCTCTCGGTGTCCTCAGCTACAATCAAGAGTCACCCACAGTCCCTGCTCTCCCCTCCCAGGGGCTTGGTAAGGAATACAGGAACAAAAGCCACCAAAGCGGCTAGGTCGCTCGGAAGCTGTGTCCCGGTGTGCGGCATGTCTGCCTCGCGAGACCCTCTTCCCCCGAAAGTCAGGAGTCGTTTCTGCCCTAGTCGGTGACCTCAGCTCGGCCGTGAGACCTTGGGCAGGTGCCTCAGGGCCCCGGACGCACCCCGGCCTCTCACCAGTGTTCGGCACCTCCCGATACCAAGCGCGGTAGAGCTCGCGCACCCTCCGCTTGGCCTCGTTCAGGTCGCGACTGAAAATAGGCTTCACCGCGGTGCTGGCCGCGGAACCGGCCTGCCGCAAGCCGCTGGCCGCCATCTTGCCAAGGAAGCCCCGCCCCCTGGGCGCGCGCATGCGCTGTGCTAGGTGACGCGTCGCCGTGCCTTCTGCGGTGCGAGAGGGCGGTGGATTGGCTGGAAGCCTCCCCGGAAGCCGGGCTTTGAGGAGGGAACGGGGACCGGCGCTTGGGGCGGTCGAGGTGGCGCCGAGGGTCTCCCTGAGCCAGCAGGGGGCGCAGCGTCCAGGCTTCCGTCAGCGGTCCGAAGCTCGACGCCCGGGCCTGCCCAGAGGTTTGTTCCTTCAGCCCCGCGGGCGGCAGGCTCTGAGGTGGATGACGGCGCCACCGTGGCGGTCTTTCCGCAGTGACGGTATATGCTGCCGAACGTATTGTGTGCGTGTCCGAAAAACCGTTTCTTCCAGACATGGTGTAGATGACAGACTGCCATCTGGCTTGAATTTTTTGATGTTTCTCAGCCCTGGGAGGCAGATAATAAGATAATAGTGATAACTCCATTTCTATTATCTATCTATCTATCTATCTATCTATCTATCTATCTATCTATCTATCTATCTATCTATCTATCTATCCTTACTTGTCATTGCTTCGGGAGGCAGGTTATACTATTAACTCCATTTCTATTTATTTATCTGTTTACCTATTTATCTATTTTAACTTGTCATTGCTTCGGGAGGCAGATAATAGTAATAATCTCCATTTCTATTTTTTTTTAACTCACTTGTAGTCGTTGCTTTTCATTGTTGTTTGATAGAAACTCTGTGTAGACCAGCTAGCCTCAGAACTTGTAGTGACTTCTTTGCCTCTGCAGGTGTGTGCCCGCTGCACTTGGCTGCGGTTGCCTTTTTTTTTTTTAATTTTATTGTACGAGGGTTTTGCATGCTTGTATGTCTGTGCAGCAGGTGTGTTTTCGGTGCCTGCAGAGACCAGAAGAAGGCGATGTTTGCCCCCAGAAGTGACGGTTGTGAGATATTTTGTGGAGCTGGGAATTGAACCCAGATCCTCTGGAAGAACAGCCAGTGTGCCTAACCGATGAGCCATCTCTAGTCCCCGTGGTTGTGTTTCTTGAAACAGGAACTCGCTATGTAGCCCTGGTTGGCTTACACTTCTGATTCCCCTGCCTCAACCTCCTTGGGTGCTAATACACCTAAGCCTAATAAGCTCTGTTTATACAAGGAATTTTCCAACCCCAACCGTGGAAGCTGGAAGGATCCTTAAATCATCCGTTCTGAGGACCACTGAGCTTTGCTGGCATGTCTCATAAGGTTATCACTGGACGTCAAGTGTGAAAAAAACAGAAACCGCTACAGTGACAAGTGGTTCCCTAAGTGTTTGATGTAGCTTAATCTCATAGCATAGTATTCTTACTTTCCAGGCAAGGAAAGCAGTGCAGAACCTCAGTCACTTGTCACATTAGATCACCTCCTTGCCTGATTCCTGACGAGAAGCCACTGCCTTTTTCTGAAAGCTCAGTTGATAGGGACTTTGAAAGTATTGAGGAAGGGGGTGGGCGGCAAGGCACAGAATTGAGTCGATGAGGGCTGACCTTGCTGTGTGACTCAGCTGGTGTAGCTTTGACCCTATATCACTCAGTCTTTATCCTGTCAAGGGATAGTGGATATTTTTCCATTTAATGTTCTTTTTCATATATATATATACATATATATATACACATATATATATATTTATTATGTATACAACATTCTGCCTCCATGTATGTCTGCAGGCCAAAAGAGGGCACCAGATCTCATTATAGATGGTTGTGAGCCATCATGTGGTTGCTGGGAATTGAACTCAGGACCTCTGGAAGAGCAGTCAGTGCTCTTAACCTTTGAGCCATCTCTCCAGCTCCCATTTAATATTCTTGAAAAACATTTGTGTGTTTGTGTGTGTGTGTGTGTGTGTGTGTGTGTGTGTGTAGAGATCAGAAGAAAACTTTCAAGAGTTTTCCATGTGGTCCCAGGAGTTGAATTCCTGGGAAATGCCTTTACCTATGGAGGTATTCTGCCAGCCCGTATTTGTTTATTTTAGTGGGTATACAATCCCTGTATACAGGAACTGGAAGAGATAGTTCAGCCAGCAGAGGGCTTGTTATGTATCTCAGTTAGGGTTTCTATTGCTGCAATCAAACACCACGACCAAAAAGTAAGTTGGGGAGGAAAGAGTTTGCTTGACTTACACTTCAACATTGCTGTTCATCACCAAAGAAAGTCAGGACAGGAACTCACATAGGGCCAGAACCTGGAGGCAGGAGCTGATGATGCAGAGGCCATGGAGGGTGCTGCTTACTAATTTGTTTCCCATGGCTTGCTCAGCCTGCTTTTGTATAGAACCCAGGACCACCAGCCCAGGGATGGCCCCACCTACAATGGGATGGACCCTCTCTCATTGATCACTAATTTAAAAAAATGCTTTTTGTGGCTGGGATGTAAAATAAATGAATAAAAAATGCCTTACAACTGGATCTTATGGAGGCATTTTCTCAATTGATGCTCCTTTTTCTCTGATGTCTCTAGCTTGTGTCAAGTTGACATAAAACCAGATAGCACACTATGCAAGAGTGAGGATCTGATTTCAAACCTAACACCAGTGTAAAAGGCTGGAAATGATGGTCTTCAGGGGTCGTGGAAACAAGTAGATCCCTGGGGTTTTATTGCCATCCAGAGTAGCCTAATCAGGAAGTCTCAGGTCCCAGTGAGAGATCCTGTCTCAAAACAAAACAAAACAAAACAAAACAAAAAAACAAAAAACCCCGGATGGCTCCTAAGGAAGGACATCAGAGACTGACCTTTGCTTTCACACACACACACACACACACACACACACACACAGATGTATACAGCAATGCCCCATATATATAACTAATTTATGCTGTATAGTAGAGCTGATGAATTACTGCCTAATGACATTCTAATATGGTAACTGCGCCATGCATTATGGATATCTTAGGGTGATGTAAACAAACTTATAGTACTTCAGTCAACACATGCACAACTATGCTCAGCACACAGCACTTAATAATTACTGGTTGTATATTCACTATTTGTTCTAGTTACAGTTCTATTGCTGTGAGGACACCATGACCAAGATAACCTATAAAAGAAAGCATTTAATTGGGGGTTTGCATACAGTTTCAGGGAGTTAAGTTCATGACCATCTTGGTGGGAAGCATGGCAGCAGGCAGGCACGACACTGAAGCAGTAGCTGAGAGCATCCTCCTCCCTCCCTCCCTCCCTCCCTCCCTCCCT